TTGATATGCTGCTCCTTATGCACTGCAAATATAATGAAGCAGTGATGCGTTGGTTAGCACCTCTGCTCCCCGAACCTGAATACCTGAGTTCGATTCCTCTATCACTAACCCACGTTGACAAGATATTTACTCCCTCGCCTGGTATGCAGGAGGTCGTGGGTTCGATGCCTGTATATTTGGAGTTTGCATGTTCTCCCCGTGATCGCGTTAATTTTTCTCTGGGTCCTCTGGTTTTTGCCTCCACATTTAGAAACGTGCGTTAAGAGGATTTGACTGCTGTACATTTTCACAGGATGAGTCACTTCGTTCATTTGTGGCCATGTCGCTTATGAAAAAGAACAATATAGCTCAATGGGCATTACCTGGTAAATAAAAAATAAAAAAATTAGTTTTAATCCACGCTCCTGGTAAATTAAAAATATAAAGTTTAGTTTTAATCCACGCTGACTGGCGTGGTAAAGTATGGTCAAACATCCCAATGACTGGAACAGCATGGGAAGGTCTAATGCAGCAGTGGATTTACAATGCTGTAAATTATTCAAATTATTTTATACGTAGTTTTATCAGTCACATTTTGTGTGCATGGCAGGCAGTCTCCAAGGCTGTGAAGCATGTAACTCTATGATTGGCAAAGCTAATGGAGCCAGTCTGGCACTGATTGTGTAACGGTAGGTTTTTGCTTGATTTGCTTTATCAGTAATAATGTTTGATGTGCAGCTGCCATAATCTGATAATGGCCAGCGTCTGGATGAACATAAAAAAAACAATGCGGCTAATCTGCAGGCAGAAGTCATTATAGCCGAGTACCAAGCTGGCCTGGTCTGTGTCACTGGCACATCAAGAGCAGCATGTGTCAGGGCCCAGTCTCGATGCTCAAGCAGTCTGCCTTGCACACGGAATCTCACCTGCATTGCGATCGCATTCACAGCTCGCCGACATGATCATCACTATTGAGATTGTTTTGAGAGGCAAAGTGGCAGTGCATGATCTATAGGTGTAATCCATTCTGAGATTCCCATTGAGCACTCGCGAACCTGGTACCTGGTCAATTTCACATGTTTATATGTGGACGCTTTGTTACGCTGTCACACCTTGACGAAATGCGGTCTTCGGATGTGATTCGGTGCACGGTACACGCCATTCTCGCGTTCGTAAATACAGCATTCAGATTGCAGAAGTGTTGTTGAGACTCTCATGGACACCTGTCCGCTTGGTGCGACGTGACCAGGCCTCGAAAAAGAATGTTACACACAGTTCTTTACCAAGGAAATTGCAACATGGCCCTACTCTCCATAATTATTTTTTCAGAATCTATTCTTTAAAGTTATGGAAATTCAGTTCAGTGTGGGCGGTGGAGGGGTTTGCCGGATTGCACACGTGTTTTGCGGTGCTGTGTCTGAGCAAAAATCGGCATGGGAAATCAACTTCAGCAGCGGTGGAGATGACTGCGTGCGGGTGCGGGGGAGACCGTTGTTTGAGCCAGGTTTTTAAGAGGTTAATTCGTAAGTGTGCAGATCGTTGAGTTGCCTTCCCGCGCCTCTCGTTCGGTTTTTTTCCCTCTTCCCAAAGCTCTGCAAGAGCCAAGCGCGCGAGTGACAAGGCCGAGCGCGAAGCGTCACGCGCGACATTCGTTTGCGTCACCGTGATGAAGTGAAAAAAACGAAACCTGGCCACTTGATCGGGCTCCCGTGAATTCTGACAGCGTCCACGCGTCGGGGACCCGCGCACCTGGACCTGTTGCTCTCCTGCAACGCGCGCGCAGCAGCTACAGTGCATAAGTGAAGCCACATTGGGTGAATGCGCGGCGACGGAAGGCTTCATGGAAGCGGGCGGACCCTGCAGTGGTTTAGTGCGGGCGCGTGCATGCACGCACGCACGTGTGTGTGTGTGCGCTGCGACCCAAGTTCGATTCCCGCTCACGGCCAAAACCAGTGACGATTATCTGAACCGGTCCTGGTCCCTCCCCTAGGCCGACTCAGCATCAAATGAGTACATTACTTGATGCGATGTGTAAACATCGCCACTATGGAGACAAAGGCGAGGCTCGGGCGTGGTGCTGGCCACCCATCCCCTCGTGTGCCGTGCCGACCTTCATAGGTGCTTGGTAACAGCACTTGCCCCAAGAGTCTATTGAGGCTATATGGGGGATCCTGGTCTTTGTGCACACGTGTGAGTCTGTGATTGTAAATCTGGAAGGACGGGGAGAAGCCGCTCTCTGCTCGAGCAGAGTGTCGAAAATTGGCACCGAATTACAGGAAGCGAGTGTCTGCTTTGTGTACCGAAATCCTTTTAGGGTGTTTAAAGAATTACACGTGGGGTGGGGTTGTTATTTTGTAGAAAATTAGACTTGAAAACCAGACGGTCTCATCTTGAGAGCATTTCACGTTTTGCTGCTCGCCTCCGCCTCCGCCGCCGCCGCTGCCGCTGCTGCTACTGCATGAGCTCCGCGCTCGTGCCGTCTGGCCCGTGTGCCGCGCCTGCTCGATCATAGGCGCCGCATCATCCTGTCGTGTCGTGGGCGTGAGTGCACCTCGGTTCAGCCGTGCTCGCTGCGCCGTGCTCCCGCCTTGCTGGGAGCCCGCAGCCTTGGGCCCGCTTTGAAAGGAACAATTTGTCAGATTCATTGGGGTGACGTGCAGTGTTGAAACCTGACCTTTTTTTTGTTCAGGCCACAGTATAAAGCTGCCTACATTTCTGTGGAAACAGCAGCCTCTTGCTGTTTCTCCTTAATCTCCCCGCTTGTCTTCGCAATGCATTTTCCTGCTTCATCAACGGTACGAGTTTGGGAGCATTCATTAGGGCATTACCAGTTTTCATTTGGTGGGGATTAATGTTGTGGCGTCTTAGCTGCTCCCAACGCCGCTTGCCTCGGGGGGCAGCACTTAGCCGTCACTCGGGCAGCGTTTGCCGTGCGTGAAATGTGCTAAATAGGGCAACATCTCTTAGGCCAGGGGTGTTAAGTGCATTACATGATGGAATGTTGACAAGTCTAAAGGCATGTATTGTGTGATGCCGGTGTGTGCGCTAAGTATATTTGATTAATGTTTCTAGATAGATAATACAGAAAAGGGCACATTTATAACGTATTTAATGCGACATTATTTCCCTTGTGTGCGGACGTTTCCCACATGATTGGGTGCTTCAGCTTCATGTTAACTGTAAAATCACACTTCCACCGACTTCTCCTCTGCACGTGCCTGAGCCACAGGGCCGCAAGGATAGTGGGAGCTGAACGTATCTTTACCTCACCCGCAACAGCATCAAGTGACAAATACACTGTGGAGTGATACTGTGGTGGAAGCGGGAATTAATGTCTTAAGATGTCAAATCCAGTCCCTGGTCAGGAATTTAACTCGCCCTCCCCCACCCTGGATGTATGTATGTTGAACTTCTTTCGCACCGTATGTAGCCAATCGTGGTAATGGGAGGTGCGGGATTGTGAGGTCAGTATAGCAGCTCATTTACAGGCATACACGTGAATGGAGGGGGCACGTAAAAAGTATTGAAATGGCGATATCCAAGTATGCACGTGCGTAGAAGCACACAGTTCCAACGACCGGCTTGCACTCCCCACTGCTGAAGGCATAGCGTTTGGGAAATTACAACCAGCAGGTAATGGGAAATGCCATGCTGTGTTAAGATTAATTAGAAATGGGGGGCAGTCATTCTTTCAGACGTTGTTTTTCCCCCAAGCTACCTTTTATCCCTCTGAACGCTGGCATTTCATCGCTGTTGATGTTATACCTGCGAAGCCCTTTTTCAGCGCCTCTCAAAGCGTTTAAAGGAAGTCCATTATCGCCTCAATTTGACATCATAAGTCCTGCCGCCACCGCTTCCATTGTGGGTGTCGCGAAGACGTTGGGGTGCGTTAGAGGGAGGTGTGTTGACTCTGGCGCGCGGGACGCATTCCTTGTTCTCTCGCTGCCGGTGCGAGATGCACGAGGAGGGGGGGGGGGTATTGAACTCTCCCTCTTTCCGGTAACGAGGCGCCCACGAGGCGCCCGCTTGCACGCAGCCTTCCCACTCCGTAAGGCGATATCGCGCAATAGCGTGCCTCGCATAGCGTGTCTCTCTCACACAGTGTGTCTCACACAGCGCGTCTCTCACAGCGTGTCGTCTGATAAAGCGCGTCCATCACGGCGCGTCTCACACGGCGCGTCTCACACGGCGTGTCCATCACGAGGCGTCTCATACGCGTGTCTCACATGCGCCGCTGTTACTCTGAGGCAGGAGTCCAAGTGCGGGTAAATTAAAGGGGTGCGGGTGGGCAGCAGAGCGAAGCTGTGCGTGAACACCCCGCCATTGTCAAGTTTTGTTCGCTCTCAATTGGGAACTGTGTTACTCTTCTAACCCAGTGCAGCCCATTTCACCTGAATTAAGGGCTCATTTGTGGTTGGTGTGGAGTGGACAACCCAGTAATCTACTTTGAAATACAATTGCCCAAAAATGTCAAATGTTACGTGTAATATCCCCCCCCCCCCCTTTAAGGTAGCGCTATTGACGAATGTGTTTTTGTTTATTCGTCTTTACGCTCCATTGCCGACGCAGTGCCGCCAAATAATGTGTTCGCAGTGCCACTGGTTAGACTTGGATTGTTAAAGCAGTTTAATGCAAAAAACAACCTTAAACTTCAAAAATGAATTAAAGAATGATCCCTCCAGCGTTCTTTCAGTAACCATGAACCAATGCGAATTTTGTGAAACGTTGAGAAAAGTTCACCTCAAAGCCACTTTAACACCGACTGCTCTGCATCAAACGGGGAATGTTTGGCAAGGGATGCACAGATTGCATCTGTACAAATAGAGCCTGCTCCGAACGACTCCACTCGGGAGGCACCGGCGGGGGGCTCGCGGACAATCACGCGCAGCGACGTCTCGCCAGGCAGCGCGTGCGTGGCTCTTGCGCCACGGCTCGCCTGCGGAGCCGGGGTGCACCTCTGGGGAAAAGAACCTGTGAGTGGTTGCGGCCGGCATGCCGCTGCGTGCATGGCTCATGCCAGAGCACATGGGTGGGACACTGAAGAAAAAAAAAGTTTCATCCCGGAGCGTATAATACCGCGTGGAGTCCCTGCAGGGGCACACTTTCGGCAGAATCCTTCGCTCCGACGCTGAAGATGCTAGCCGTGCTTGTGACGGCCGGGAGTGTGAATCGATCAGCAGCGACTCCGCAGTTGAGCGAGAGGGAGAGATCGTTAGCGCCGTGATGGTGTAATAAGCTAGCAGGGGGCCACAGAGGGGAGGGAACAGAGCTGGGCTGGGCTGGCGTGCAGTGATAGCTGCATGCAGACGGGCGCGCACGCACACAAAACCTGCACATGGGCTGCACCACCAGCCTCGGCTGCTGCGCCGAGGAGAATCTACAGGGAGCACCGGGGCATCCGTCGGCCATGAGGACAGAGAAAGAGAGAGGAAGGAAAAAAGCGGCGAAGAAATGTGACGATGACGTTAAGGAGATGAGGAAGGTAAGAGGGAATTTCAGACGATACTTTTATGCTAAGCAACTTTCCACTACTCCCAAGCTTCTTGCTGAAATGTCTAAATTATTTCCTGTTTTACGTGCCGCTCTAAAGCTGGGAAGCAATATAATGTACGAATCATGTTGAGAATACAGCACTCGATTTATGAACATTTTATTGTACGTTGATTGCGGTCTACTCCAGATATGTTAGCGTGTGAATATAAAAGCTTATTTGGCTCACGTTTCTGGGTGTGCTCCACAAAACGTGCAACAGCCCTCACTGTTTGGGGGTTCGGGGGCAAAGGTCAATGTCGTACGACCCATGGATATTTTGACAGCTTCTTTCTTGTGCTGTTTGTTGCCATATTATGTCTGTGCAAGCGTTTTCTTTAGATCGCTTTTCACTCAAATTCTTCTGAATTACAAGGAGCTATGTAGGGCCGTTTCTCTTTTAAATCCTGGCGTTATGACACTGACGAGAAGAGGCTCGCTAAAGGGGTACGTGGGGGTGGGGCAGAGAGTCGCCCTCCACCTGAATATAGAGAAATGTGGAGACAACAGCCCTCGGAGAGTCACGTGGGAGGGCTCGTAGCCTTCTTGACAGTCTTACTGTGTGGATGACATTATGACAGCTGCAAAGAAAATTACGGGAGAGACGCAGAAGCACGGAGAGAATGAGAGGGGGGAGGCAGACATGTAGGTGGTGGGCTCTCAAAAGGGTTTAGCATCTACTTTCAACACGGTATGGAAATTTAATATTTCTGCTGCAGAAACTTGGAAAATTCTTGCTCAGACAGAAGGCTGTTGTACGAGCACAGCAGACGTGACATCATGTAAGCGAACGCGACGCCAGCACTTCCCAGCGGTATCGCCGTGCGCCAGCCTGTCAGCGCGCTGATCCCGTGGCACGGAACTAGAGAGATGCCGCTCCCCCAGTTACCCTTGCCTTACGGACGGTTCGGCTCCGGCGACTGCAACCTTGAATTCCTGGGCCTCTTTGCGGCCCCAGGGAGCAATTCCTCTCATAAACGCGTTCACTATACATGCGACTAGTAGGATAATCACTCAACGGCAATTGCCGCTATGTGAACCGATAGCCTTCTTTCAAAGCAGTTTATGCAAATGACCACGTAGCTCATTTCTTATCTGCGCCACCTCCCACGTGGGTCTCTCCAGCACTTGGGGGCACGAACATTGCAACGTTTCTTGTAAAAAGTGTCAAAAAGTTAGAACAGAGGATGATATATGGTTTTACACTAACATTGGTAAATCAAGCGCTTGTCGTAACATGACCTCGAGCCACTCTGACTTATTCATGGACTTGAACAGTAGGTGTCCTCCCAGATAATCCTGTGGTGTAGCACTGGTAATGATGCTGCTCTCAATAACACGATCGTTGGCTTCAAGCTGCTGCACTGAAGTTGATTCACCAAGCACCGCCAACGTGGTGTCCCCAAAGTATTTATAACTTAAATCTATCAACATCAGACCGTTATGTATCCACTGCTGGATGCAGGCCTCCCCAAATTGTAGTCATCCGTCACTATCCCATGATGCCAAAATAATTATTGTGCCCACGCACGAGTTCAGCTCTGTGCTGGTCATCCTCTTGGGTGTGTTCCGTTCTGTGGCTGTAATTCCATCTCCAGTCTCGTCTATCAGCTATCATCATTTCTAGCGGTTTGCCCGATCCCACTTGAAATTTGAGACATGTTAATAGACCATTCTCAGATCCATGTGCTCCTCTTTTTTGCCTCGCAGTATAATACTCTTAGGCGTTTTCGGTAAAGTCACGTAGGTAAAAAAAAAATTAATAGAAGTAATAATAGAAATAAAATAATAAATCACGACGTTTCGAGCGCATCATCAGGTGGAACAACCACAGCAAGAAACAAATGCTGAAGCATTTGTTTCTTGCTGTGGTTGTCCCACCTGATGACGGACGCTTGTGTTGCGCCCGAAACGTCGTGATTTATTATTTTATTTCTATTATTACTTCTATTATTTTTATTTTTTACCTACGTGACTTTACCGAAAAAGCCTAAGAGTATGAATTCTTGCAGTCACGAAAGCTTCAAATCTAGAATCGCAGTATAATTCCTAGCGTGGATCTCTGGTATTTATGTATGTTGCATTTATTTCGCACCTTCCGTAGCCATCCGTGCTAATCGGAGGTGCGGGGGAAGGGAAACTAAACAAAAAATCAGTTTTTCGTGCTTTTCTGTTTTTGTTTAACGCTGTTTGCCAGAACCATGTTTCCATTCCATGTTGTGGGAGGTAACATGCAATGATTTAAACACATCTTAAGGCACGTTGCATGTGTGTGTTGCTTTGCACTTAAAATGCATTTATCAAAAAGCAGCCCAACTTACTCTCGCTTATATTCCGCCTTTGATCCTGGTCTGCCTTAAATAAATGCCTACATTTACATTGTTGTGTCTTTCCGTTGTAATTTCCTTTAGTTCAGCAAACATATTAGAGCATACATGTTAGGTCCTTCACTCATTTGCGATGGCACGTATCCAATTGTTGCGAGAATGACTGTGTCAGCGAATCTGAGATGGTGAACACCATCACTGTTGAAATATTTGGCTTTATTTCTCGAAATCAATGTTTAATGACAGTAAACCGCAACGGACTAACCAGTGGTCAGGTATTGTCATTGACTGGAGAAGAGGTTTGGGGAGCTCCATGGCTACCCAGAGGCGACCTGTACCTTGAGGTGGTGGCCAGTGTTCGGTGTAACGTGGGTGAGGTATGGGTCATGTCAGCACCAACGTTTTCCAAACAGCGGCAGTCAAAGTGGCTGGCACAGATAATTGAGACACTGAAATGTGAGCGGTGGAGCAGTACACCACATTCGAAACCCGATTAACTGAGATTGATTCCTGGTCACGGCTAACATCAGTGGCAAGTGGTATTTGAACAGAATTTACAAGTGTGATTAAGTATGGTCAAACAACCCCCCATAATTGATATGGGCATGGGGAGGCCCTCATGCAGCAGTTGACTGTCAAAGGGCCGTACATTATCATTATTGTTTATACTTTGACACGCTCGACTACCCTTTGTGTAGTGAGTGTGGAGGAGAACCTGTCTGCTAGGTTGGGTTTCATTACCCCAGTCCCAGAGCAGTGGTGGTGAGAAGCGCTTGGGCTGCACTCGCTGGGACAAAAAAAACAACGAAATTCGCAAGTGCCGATAGTGTTGCCGCTTGCAATAATCGCGGCGGCGCCGTTCGGCCTCACCACGCTCAAGAGATCTTAGAGTGGTGAGCGGAAGGTCGATTTTGAAACTTCCCTGCGAGCTCGTGCCACACGAGACGTTGCGACAGCAGGCCGCTGTGCCACATCCACCACCGCCGCTGATGTTGTTGTGATGTGGCCCGCACCTGCTGTATCGCAGTTCCGCTCTCCGCCCCGTGAATACTGTCGTGGGGTCGGGCCGAGAGGCAATGATTGAGGATGTGAATAATGCAGATGCTTTTGCAGGCAGAATGAAGCAGGCCGAGGTTTTGACTTTCACTCTGAAAGGTTAGCACACTTTTAACAACGGCATGTTCCGGTAATAATGTTATTTGACATTTACCCTTCCATTATATGAGGGCATGTAATCAGAAATGACCCTGAGAGACGGTGTATCTCATTGTGTGAGTTCAGTCGAGGGCAGAGCAGAGGTTTTACGTCCATAGTTTTGGTGGTCGTGACATTCAGGGAAGCCACTCACTTAATCTGCCCGGATTCGCTATACAGCGACTTCATTGACAGCTAAAACAAACCTCCTTTCACACACACACACACCAGCCCTGCGCGCCACGCGTGCCGGCTTGATCCACGTGTTGGGAGCGTGGCCACTTTCCCGTGGCGGCTCAGCCGGGCGCGGTGGTGGTGGCGGTGGCCTCACCGCGGGCCTCCTGACGGTGGCGCTCTCGTGAAGCGTCGAACACCAGCAGCAGCAACCCGCGGGGGGGGGAGTCGTCGACTTTTGCAGCACCCCCCCCCCCTGCCTAGTTTAGGACTGGCAACACAGACCGCATCAACTCGTTCTCGCTCGGCCACAGGTCGAAGCCTCACGTCGGATTCCGTGTACAACACAGCAGGCGCGGTGACGGACCCTTGTAGGTATGATTCGTGGAGGTGTTGGCGTTCATTTGTGAGAAGAAGAACAACAATAAACACGTGGCCATGCTGCTGTAAGAGCAAGGAAACGCGAGGCCTTCTCCCTCCACTCTCCATCTCGCAGTGAGGCCCTGCATGCGTGCAAGTCGGTCCACACGGTGACCAACCATGCGAAGTCAACCTCTGCTTCTTGTCTGATCACTGCCCCCCGCAGAGCGCCCACGTTGTTGCGGTACGATTAGTTGTCCTCTTGTGTCGTCTGTAGTCGTCATTAGCCGGCCATGGTCGACCCCGCTGTGTGGGTAAAGCCCTTCCACGTGTCAAGCCATTAGACCGTCGTGAATTAACCCAACCTGCCTTGTCGGGTCACGGTGTGTGTGTGTGAGAGACTCTTAATCCTTCAGCATTTCCACAGGGACCCACACGCAAGCGTGGCTGTGGGATTAACGCAAGTCTTTAACAGGTTCACAGATGGTGTCAGAGCCACCGAGCACCTGCACTTATTAGATGTAAGCTCTTGTCGGGGTTGACACGTGTCTTATTGCTCGAGTATCTCCATCGCGATGGAAATATAATGAACGTAATCGTATGAAGCGGCATGTTGCTGTCGGCTCTGCCCGTGGTGGATGGAGTCGTGGGTTCTCTCTTGATGTTGGGCCGCATCTGCGTGGGGGACGTTTGGGGGCCCCTCGTGATGGGACGCGGGGCCACTGCCCTGAGACGTGGGACAAAGGGCAGCCAGCCAGGCCCCCGTCACGGCCTCATTTACAATTCAGGGTGGCGACGGACTCGTGAAGAATGTAATTTCCCATTAGAATGAACCTCGCAGTCAACCCGCTGCGGGCACGTCGGTACACGCGACTGTTGCCTGCCTCTCACGTTTTGA